TTGGGCCTTCAGCTCAACATCCTTCTGGCTTTGGGCCTTCAGCTCAAGGTCCTTCTGAATTCGCCCATGCCAATCGTCTCCCAGCATAGCCTCCAAAGGGTTCACTTCTGAAAGGGATGCTGGCGACATTGCGTCCTTTTCATCGGAGAGCGCTACTGACGTGGGAGCATCGTCGTCCATGACAGATTCCTTAATTGATTATGTGATGCACAAGATATTCCTTTCGGGGGTCACAACAGAGCATACATATAAAGGAAGGTGAGCTATACTTCTGAACCGCAAAGACCCATCTCCGCCCATCCAAAAGTGTTTGGAAAGTTTCTATTTCTCACCCAGACACCCTCATCCCAGCATCACGGCACATCAATGTGTATTCGGCGAGGGTCATATTTGCGCAGGTCTCCATGGCTTGAGAGCGCCCAGCTTCCACGAGCGCGCCCAAAAACGTAGGTAGAGTGAGCGCAACTTGGGATTCACAAGCGGTGCAAAAAACTGGATTCAAACAGCTAGCTGTCCACGCCGATTTCCACCCTACTTGGAACCAGCTATATATATATATATGAAATTAAGTGGTCACACAAAAAAAGGTTTGGGGCGCGGGCGACCGCGTCTATGAACTATATATATATATAAGCTCTTTCAACTTGTGGCAACCTTTGCTAGGTGCGGGCGACCGCATCTATGGGTTTTACCAGTTCTGTTTATATCTTATGGGGCTTAAACGAACCGATCAAGAGTTGAAATCACGAAACAATGACTCCTCCACAAGCATAGTCGATTCTGTGCCGCGATGACTTTTCTTGGCGACACTCTACGGATGGTTTCACCCGGGATCCATTGCCAGGGCCCAGCTTAGGCAATAAGATCCAAAATCCAAGACTAGATCAGTACCCACGGTACTGCCAACAAGACAAAGTGCATAGTTTGCGCCAGCGGCGCTTTGCACACCCGTCCTTGAACTTCTTCCTGGTGGGCACGTCCAGCTTGGCAATGATCTCTTCCCTCAGCCTTTTCCTCTCGTCGTTCTTGGCCTTGTGGTTGGAAGCAGCCTTTGCGATGCTCGGTCTCTTCATGACTCCCTGTCCAAAGCCTTGCTTCGGCTTTTTTGGTGGCTGCGTGGCACACTTGGAAGCCAGGCTGCCCAAAGACTTGGACTTGGGGTTGGAAGGTCCTTTGGCTGCCTTCTTCATCACAGGACCATGTGACTGGTTTGAGCCTTCCTTCAACTTCACCCTTGCTTCCTTCATTTTTTCCACGCTCTCAGCAAGAGAGATGCCACGATTGTGTGGAGCCATGTCATTCACCTTCTCGCCCTGCACCTGCGAGGTTGGCAAGCCCTCCGGCGCGCAAGAAGGCTTCGAAGGCAAGGCTTCCAAGGTTGGCGCGCTCTCTAAAGGCTGCGAAGACGGTCGGTCACAAAGCGCAGGACAAGGGAGGGGTGGATCTGCTGACGCAGGCGGCTTCTCTGGCAACACGTCCTTGCTTGCTGGCAATGGTGGTGCTGGAAGAGCAAGCTGGGGTTGCTGAGTAGTACCCTTGCCCTCAGCTCTGTCAAGCAAGGCGCCCAAAGCTTTACCTGGTTGCCTAGTCATGGTCAGCCTGCACTCCTCTGAAGGTGGCTTGCCCCACTGCTGCATCATCATCATCATCCACGCAGACTGCATAGATGCCCAGAACGCCTCCGGGGAATGCAGTTGAGGACCCTTGTTATTCACCACCTTGCTGTTGGTCGAGCGTAGAGAGATCTCCCTGGCAACGTTGGCAAGGTCCATGAGAGAGAACGGCGCTGAGTCTGACTCGCTCTCGTAGCCGTCTGGAAAGGCCAGCGAGAGAAGTCCAGCTGGCGCGTCCTTTGGATTTGCAGGTAGTGCAACTAGGTGTCCATGAGGCAACATCTGATCGCCATCCTGTTTCGCTTTGAACATAGATGTATGGACCCGAGCTTTCACGTTCAGGAAGATGGATCTGAGCTTCATCGCATCGGGGATTTGCTTGGAACTGCTTGAGTCATCCCTCAAATCCCGCAGAACACAAAGTGCGGCCAGCATGGCCTGAGTTTGCTCTGATGGACTTCGCAAGCCCAATTGCACAAGGTGGCGAAGCACCACATCTAAGGCAACCAGGGACCCAGGAGCACGTCCACGTCTTCTTGTTGATGTAAAGCGGGAAGGAGCACCAATCCTGCATTGCCAGGCGCTCACTCTTTGCGGGCTGGTGGGGGGGACCTTTGTTGGCATCAGCAGCGCCCGCCATGTTACTTACTTCGCGGCAAAGTACCGGCGCGAAAATCACACCTATATGCATTGAGCATCCACGAAGACCCCGCGAGCGAAAACGAACGGAGCAGGAATATGTGCAGCGGGACCACCGCCACAACTGCGACTGATTCAGGGAACACATCCACAATGCGCAAACAGCAACTGAAAGGAAACATGAAAACTGTTACACGTATAACCAGTATATGATACTGCAAAAGGGCAATGCCATGATGTGTGTAAATAGCAAT